TTACGACCATTTGAATTATATTATGCATAATATTATACTGTTATCCGATTTTCCGTTACGCTGCACCTTTATCGTTAGGTGATATGTGATTGTTTTTATTTTAACCTACAGTGGTTTATTATCCATACAAAATGTTTAAGTGTATACCTACTCATTTTATATGAAGTTATTGAACGTAATAATAATTTATCATTATTACAATTAACTTGAATTTTGAAGAACTAAAATAAGACCCTTGGACGCGTAACTTTAGCTTAATTTGTTCTAAAATATAAAAAGCGTACTTTAATTTTTTAGGTGACAAATGGATATAGTAGGTACATCTATAAATTTAAATTAGTAAAATTAAAAGTAATAACTACAAAAACAACGGTCTCACACACACACACACACACTTCGCGCCCAACTTTTTTCATCAAATTTTCTCGAGTTCTCTTACGGAAATTTTCCTTCCACCTCTTCAACGTGTGGTGCAAATACGATGAAATATTTCCACCTTACAATCATCTGCTCCACACGCACTCAGTACACGAATTGTATATATATATCATACAACGATACAGAGTTGCACACACACAAACAGAGAAAGTAAGAGAGGGAAACGACGACGACGACGACGACGCCGATGATAATGCGCTCACGGGGTTCTACGGGAATAATAAAACCCCACCCCCACTGCCGAGTGTTTCCTCTCGGGCGAACAAACACATATTCATCGGAGCATAAATGGAGAAAACAGCCGCCCACGCGACGGTCTTGTCGTCGTCGTCGTCGTCGTCGACTGTGCAAGGGTGGAAAGGAGAATGAGCGCTTTCATTCTGCGCTTGTACCTATATATATATACATAATTTGTACTTTCCTTTCACCCGTTTTCCGTTCTTAGCAGCCACACACACACACACACACACACACACACACACACACACACACACACGTCCACTCGTACACACACTACACCTCCGTTTGCCCGGGCCAAGAATGCCCTCGCAATTAAATGCGTTTCGTCGTTGTCGACACACGGTTTTACGTATATAATAATTTACCGAAAAGGCTTTCGGGGCCCGCGATTTCTGTGTGAGGGATTTTAGTTTATTCGTTTTAAAATCATGTAGTCAGTGTATATATTATATGTATGCACACATACAGGGTGTCTCGCCGGTGTTGACCACGTACATATAGCTGCTCGGCTATACGTATTAATACACCCGGCTCCTGGCCAACCTTTACAACAGATTTAACCATTCGAAAATGTATACTCTTAATTGAACATTTGATAAGACAAATCAGATTTATAAATCGTAGACTCGTAATTATTTATTCCGAAATCAAATACAAATTTAAAATTTTATTGATTTTGAGAAAGTTATTGTCCCGAACGAACACTGTGAAACACTGTGTATACTATATATTATAATTTATGAACATTTATTTATACGGGGTGGTTCACATACACAATCATAGTAGGTACTATAAGTACTCGTAAAGACGTAAATACGTAAATACGTGTGTACAATAAAAAAAAAAAAAAAAAACATCACTTAGGCCTATAAGCAAAAATAATTATTCGAGTTTTATCTTTTATCCCTGTAAATTAACACAAAACTGACATAATTATATTATGATAATGTACAATAATATGTCAATGTCACATGTACTGGATTCTGCAATACACATCGTAAAAACTGTTTAAGGTAACCTCTATATGAAGAATAGTACTAATGTACACTATGGAAGTATGAAATCTTTAGAATTTATTGTAAGGCTACGATAAAATACACAGTTAAAATGAATTGCTAAAGAGTATATTCAACATTTATAAATAATTATATTCCAGATGTTAAATTAAAGGGATTATCCACTTTTTGTTATTTGAATACTATTGATTCCTATGTATATTTAATTTAGAAAGATAAATTATATAACCTACAGTTGTTTCTAATAATTAAGATATAAAATATTAATGCATATTATTTACCCAAAAGTGAAACTTAAGAAAACATCTACTTACCAATCAAGTAACATTTATGTTAAAAAGCTTTCAAAATTAATATTATACTAAATTATTATTCAAATATTGTGGACTGTGGTCTTAAATATGGTATTTACTTTTTCACAATTTTTATTAGTTTAATGAAGGCACGTCCATGTTTGCGTTGTCAGTGCCACTACTACTAAACGTTTTATGGATCACAGTGCGAAATATTATGAAGGGGCACCATAAAACAGCATTATAATAACATAATATTGTTATTTTTATTAGCTTATTTATTTTAATAGTAATTTACAATGATAATTTTTCGAGGCATAAATAGTCCTAACTTTTAAACACTAACATTGTATTTTTCTTTCTGTCATCACTTTTTAAAGCAGAAAAAATGCTTTAATTTTCAATTTTTAAGGTAGTTTCTGGTAGCAAATTAGGTATAGTTGATACTTACGAGGGTCTAAATTTAGACTAAATTTACTAAATTTACTAATTTACTTAAGTAGAAAAGTAAGGTTTAAAATAACTGAAAAAACTGTAGAGAAATTTCAAATATTCAATTATATATAAGCATTTTCTAGATTACAAGTGTAATTTCATAAACATTTTCATGAGCGATCGAAATCCAATTTTTGACAACATTGAAAGATACTGATACAGTTTTTGTTATTATATTACTATTTAAAATTTAAAAATTTTATAGAAGAACCTTGAATAATAATTTTATTATTTCTTCAATTAAAATAATTATAATTTAATTATTTCTATACTCAATTTTGAATAACTAGACTTATTATACGTTTTATTTTTTATAAATGTCGAAAAAACCTTTTATGCTTGACCAAAAAACTTGAAAATTGAATAAAAAATTTCTCATAAGTTGTAAATACTAACCTACTGCAATTTAAAAATATAAAAATGTATTTTCACTACTTTTTTTACTACCGTGTTTGAAATCATTTTTTTGAGCCGAGCATTTACAATAGTATTTTGTACTTATTTAAAACTTCACACAGTTTTCAAGTAGTATAGCTTGGTTTTGAAAATATAATAATATTCATCATAGGCTTGTATTTCACAGTTTTAAAAATAACGATAATACATATGCACAATTATTACTTTTGTAGATATTTTAAGTTCTAATTTTAATGAAAAGTGATATTTATAAAACAAAGACATAAAAAATGTTAGGTTTAATGTTGTAATAAAACATAATTAAATTATTAAACTAATTATGACCGATTTTTATAGCAAACTTATTTACACCGTTATAGGTATTGTAGTATGCAGTATTGATATTTAATTTAATAACAATTATATATGATATTATAATAAGTAATAATGAAATATAATATGTAATGTTTTTGAAAAAATATATTCAACAATTTCTTCTACTAATAATAATATAAATATATTATAAAATATCCTTAGACACAGATTTTAACTTTATAGAACCACTGTCCTAATATCAATAGTTTTGTCATCCAATTAAATAGTGAAATAAATTTCATAATCTTTCACTTTGACATAGTTTTGTTAGCTGGAACCTTTCGGGGGGGTCTCACTTATTACCACCCTGGGTGGTACTTACCTAACCTAACCTAACCACTACTAGTTACGGCACTATGTACTGTCTCATTTTTAGAGACGAGAACAGAAAAAAGTGTCTAAAATAATGAAAGTAATTGAAAGTAGATTTTATGTAAAATTTCGATTCTTCGAACATAACAGCTATAATTTGTATGTAAAGCAATTAAGTTTTATGCTAAGCTAACTAATGCACAAAATTAGTGTAATTTTTAGGTTCCGTGTAGAACATACATACAAGTAGCTGTATGCATAGCAATATATTTTTATTTTTTTTTGTTACATCATTAATTAATTTATACATTCTGTAAATTTATTTTTTTACAATAAGTACAAGCGCTGTGGAAGTTGATGGGTTGGAGGTTTGAAAGAAGAATCCATCCAGTGATGAAACTTCTTGACAGATTTATCGATATAATATACGATTATATTAAATATATATAAATATATTAAATACACTGGTATTAACAACCTGTAGATTAAAATCTTATATTATAGTTACCTATTGTATTTACTATAATAATATATTTGGACTCAGTTATTGAAAAAAAGTTTTGTACAAAACATAAACGCTCCTCACTCTCTTCAGTATTTTGTTCTGCACATCAATTCAAAACGTCCAATAACCATTAGTCCGAGAACTTAAGTATTTATCTTGGTTAAAACTTAAGGAGTTCTTCTATAGATACGCACATTGCCCATCACTTTAATAGGAAAGTTTTCTCATGCGATAACTTCTCTCATCAGCCGAGCTGCTGCCGCTGGAATGCATTCGATTGAAAACCCTGGAAAATTTCAACGGGGGCGGTAAAGTTGATAAGGGAAAGAGGATATATAATATATATATATATATATGTTATATACCGTATGTGCGGAAGAGTGGTAAAGAGGTAGAAAGAGAGAAAACGATACGGAGACATATAAGTAGGAGAAAGACGGATGAATTGAATGAGAGAGCGAGAGAGAACTGCGAGAGAAAGAGACTTTGACGGAAATGTCGTCAGAACTTTGTATAGAAAATTAAATCGCACGGTGTCTGTGGTGGTGGGCGGAAAGCGGGTCGGTAACGGTGGAGGAGTGGATGGCATTTTCCATGATGGCTTCTTCTTAAAACCTACCCCACCGGTAGCCCGGAGGGTTGGTACGGTAAGGTGTTTGTCAAGGAAAGGGTGGAGCTCCCAAAGTATCTCCGGCATTCTTATTGGCCCAAAGAATTTCCACACGCACGCACACACGCGCCAGCTCACACAAACACACACGCACACGTTTACGCACGCACGCACACACATATACACGATTTCGCTCAGTTCTATATAAGTATATACGATATACCTAAGCGAAGCACAAAACACACAGAGGGATGAGTTTTGCAGCCACCCCCCTCCCATCCATTCTAGTCGACGACGTGTTCCGGGCGTTTCGTGTTAAATTAGAATTTCCCGGAGCCACTGTCTTTTAGCTCTCTTGACGCGGCATACAATTTAATAATGCACGCTAAGACGGCTCGAAAGTAGACCCGCAGGGATCCTTTGTTCCTTCCGAATAATCTCGTATACCTTAATACAAAACCCGAAGACATACACCCCGCATGCACTACCTCGCCAGTCGACTGCTGAACGGAGGGTGGCCCCTGCACGTCAAAGTCCCACCACCCCGTCAGCATCGGCACCCCGACGCCACCTCCACCGCCACTGTCGACGGTGTGCCTGGGATGAAATTCGAATCCTTCTTCCTCCGCCGACGCCCAAGGCTCCTTCGTACGAAGTCGCAGTCGCAACATCTCGCGCCCGCTTCTAATTAATATTTTGCTCGCCGTGTTTTATCAAACGGGTCACAACCCCTCCCTCTGCAGTACTTTATGGTAATACGAGGTAATATACGGGCACTGTAGAGCGGCTCTAGTGGCTGTTTAGTGACAGGGTGAATTATTAATAAAATGGAAAAGTGATGACATATAATATTATTGTTGAGGTACTACCTGTATTACAATATATATTAAACATTAATAGAAATAGCAGGTGGAAAACAATCAAAATCTGAAAGTGTCTAAAAAATTATCATCGGTTAAAATATCTAAATTTTTTTGTAAACTTTTTTGGTTAGCATAACATGATCCTCAATTTTTTATGATGTTGTGAATTGTTCGTAAATAGAAATTGAGACAACTTATCTTACTATTAGTAATTTATTTTATACTAAAAGTATTTGTGTAGTTATACGTCCTGAACTCCTGAACAATGTACTATATTGAACAAACCATCTTCTGACAAAAACCTTGCATAGTTGCATAATATATTATTATTACAATATTACTTATAGTATTATGCTATTATATCTTAATAATACATTATTGTTATTAACTTAAAATGCAATACCTTATATTATAGAACAGCATCAATGGCATAAAGAGCTTAAAATATTAACATTAATTTCAATGTGTATCAAATTATAATATATTATAAACGTGTTTTTTGATAACTTAAATATTTATAGGATGTGAACCTCAAAAATATATTTTAGATTCTGAGTGAAACGATGAATGTATTGATTTTACAATGATGTGTGTTTTTTTTTTATTTTTTATTTTTTTATTTTTTTTTATTTTTGTGTCTGTCATCACGTTTTAGGACAGTAAAAGTGCTTGGATTTTCTTCATCAGTAGCTTTTCTGATAGGAAAGTGAATCTAGTTGGTACTTTGGGGGGTCAAAAGTATAAATTTCCCAGTAGTTTTCACAAGCGCCGAGAAAAACAACATAAAAATTAAGGAAAAACGGGAATTTTTACGCAAAATTGGTTTTCCAAAAAATCGATTTTGGTTTTTGGTGTAACTCTACAACAAATGAACGTATATACATGAAATTTTCACTGGTTGTTTATATTTGCATTTTCTATACACGATAACATTTTCAAAATATTTGGATTTATTTTGAACTGTTTAGGGACATTTTCATTTTCCATTTTTTTTTAGTTTTTTTTCTAAAAATAGCAATAAAATTTTATTTGTTGGTTGCGAAAGCTTGAAAATTTAATAGAAGGCTCCTAATATATTGTTTCAAAGGCAGATGAAAAATATTAAAAATCCTTAGTCATAATTTTTTTTATAAGCATTTAAAGTTCAAAAATTGACAAAATATGGAAAAATCACGAAAATTAGCAAATTATTTTGAGTTAAGAATTCGTAAAAATTTTTCTTTTTAAATCTAAGATTTTAAAATTAAACACAAGATTCCTTATAAGATTATCTACCTTTATCAAAAAAAAATGTCTATAAGAAAGTCAAATTAAATTTTTATGACCGTTTGAAATTCAAATTTTTACAACATTGAATATTCACTCGATTTCCCATGTAGCGATTTCCTTATTTTGTTGTAATTCAAAAACAAATAACTGTAGATACATGAAAATTTCACTGAATGTTTATATTGGCATTTCCTATACACCATACAATTTTGAAAATATTTTGACTCTTTTTGAGCTGTTTATGGACATTTACAGCTTTCAATTTTTTTTAGTTTTTTTTTCTATAAATATCAATAAAGTTTTATCTGTTGGGCCAAAAAGTGGAAAATTTTAATACAAGGCTCCTGATATATTGTTACAATAGCAGTTGAAAAATATTAAAAATACATAGGCACAGTTTTTTTTTATAAGCATTTAAAGATCAAATTTTGACAAAATTTATCAAAATCTCGAAAATTATCAATCATTGTAATTAATAAATTATAAAATGTTCAGTTTTTATAGCTAAGGATTGCAAATTTTAAACAAAGGTTCTCATAAATAGTTCATACTATAACCAAAAAATCTAAAAAATATATGAACACACTTATTTTTTACAGACATTTTAAATTCAAATTTGGACGAAATTACATATTAAAAAACCTAGAATAACTATTTTAGTTATTTTGTTATGATTGAATAATATTATTCGTGGGTACTTGAAACTTCTAAAGTGTACTATTATATATCTATGATAGTATCACGGTTTTTGTTGATGTATAACGCGTTATATAAGTACCTATAATGGACATTGTGATATGATTAATTTGGAATTTATTATAGGTACCTATTATAGTTCAATTTTTTGTTTAATACCATAGATATGTATATAATATATCTTATACATAGACTGACATACCGTCTCCGCTCAGAATCGTTTTTCTTATACAATGATATTATATCGTTGAATTCAAATTTAATATCATCTATTATACAGTAACCCACTTGTAACCTACTGTACAGCAGAGCGACACCCACTTAAGCACCTTTTTTAAATTGTTTTTAACTTACATTGCTACATTTCAATGTAAGAGTTAATGACGAGTTATTTTTTAACATGCCAATGTCATTAGTCTTTACAGAGCATTATACTACTTCACTGTTATAGAAATCTTCATTTTTGGGTTGTAATCGATTTAAAAACATTTACGTAATCTTATTAATTTTTGCTCTTGATAAAAATATTTTGCTTCGTAGTTTTCGCTCGTGTGCAATTTTTTTTTGTGGCCAATCCTGTATTGTATAATATACGCTAAATAGGTGTGTCTCGGTTTTAGTAGATATAACTCAGTTTTAGTGTACCACACTACCTCAGTTCACTGACAAATCGGTTTTAGTGTGTTTGTCTTTGTGAAATAATTCTACCTAGATGGGAGACCATATTTCACGGATTGGTTTTATCATTTGGAATATTTTTTAACATGATTTAAACGACTTAGGTACTCTATAATATTTTCTGACATCTCTGAGATGTTCGTCGAATTCAATTGAGTAGATTTTGAGTATGTATAAATAGCTACACACATAAATTTGGTTTTAAGATAAAGTATATGAATTTGTTCGATGCCATAAGCGCGACAATTTGTTGCATTCTTGTATTATAGTTGTATCTGATCTGCCCGAGTAACCAATGGCAACCATTTATAAACAAATAATAATAATAATACTAATTTCTACAGTTACTATTATAATCTGCTGCAACCAATGCCAACCACTTATAAACAAACAAAAGTTACAATTTCCCCCGTGAACCTCAAAAATCACTGTTTGACTACCTTTTGAAAATGCGAATATCAGAAAATCTTTTCTTGCAAATTAGACCACTAATTTAAAACTCGTACGTTTTGTAGTTTTTTTTTTTCTGAAGGAACTTAATTATAGTACAAAAATATGTACAGATAAACTCTCTCCAAAGATAAAGTAGCATAAGAAACTAGATATTTTCCATATTTGAGAGAAATTGAGAAATCATAATATATTACATGTTTTTGGATATAGTGCAGAGGAAAAATTTCTTGTTACATGCTTTTAGAAATTGATTTTTAGAATAATCATGGTTGATTTGCTTTTCTATGGTGATAACCAAAGTATGAATCAAAATCAGTTGGAAAAAAACCATAGCACACTACTTACTTGACATTTTTCCTTTACTACGATAATCTATGAATGATAAATTCATTTTTGTTAATAAGTAACAATGACGAAGAAAAACTCTATTTTGAAACATCGTTTAAAAAAATAAAATATCTTTTTTGGCATCTTTTTATTAAATATCCCAAAAATATATTTATGTTAAAAACCGAGTAAGTGGATGTCGTTCTACTGTACAGTAGGTTATAAGTAGGTCACTTTAATGTATGGTATTAAATTTGAATTCAATGGTATAATATTATTTTATACGAAAAACGATTCTGAACGCAGATGGTTTTTCAGCCAAGGATATTTTATATTATATTTATATTATTATTATTAATATGATAGCCGTTAAGTTGAATTATGTCATTTATATATAAATAATATACTTTAGAAGTTTCGAGTATCAACAAATAACATTTTTAAAATATAACACAAATGACAAAACTAAAATCGTTCTAATTTCGTCCAAATTTGAACTTTATATTTGTTATTATAGAATTTTTGGTTACAAAATTAACTACTTACGTGGAAATGTGGAATCTCGTTTTAAATTTCCAATCCCTACTTTTATAGGTCGAACATTTTATACATTTTTAACTACTAAATAATTTGTAGATTTTCAATTTGATAAATTTCGTTATCATTTGAACTTTAAATGCTTATAAAAAAAAATGTCTGTATGTATTTTTAATATTTTTCACCTGCTATTGTAACAATATATAAGGAGCCTTGCATTCAATTTTTATGCTTTTTAACATAAAAAGTAAAATTTTATTGACATTAATAAAAAAAAAAACTACCTATACAAATTAAAAATGGTCAATTCTGTAAATAGCTCATAACGAATCGAAATATTTTTGAAATGTTATCAAGTATAGGAATTGATAAAATAAATGTATGGTGTAATTTTCAAGTATCTTAAGTTGTTTGTTTTTGAATTATAACAAAATAAGAATATTTGTAAAAAATTGAACTTCAGACGCTCATAAAAATTTAATTTTACTTTTTATTAGACATTTTTTTTTTGATAAAGGTAGACAAACTTTTGATGATTCTTATAATCTTATATTACATTTTAAAATCTAATATTTAAAAATTAAAATTTTCATGAATTTCTAACTCAAAATATTTTGCACATTTTTGTGATTTTTATGGATTTTGTAAAAATTCGAAATTTAAATGCTTATAAAAAAAATTGTGACCATGTATTTTTAATATTTTTCAAATTCAATTGGAATAATATCCTATGAGCCTTGCATTAATTTTTCATGCTTTTAACCAAACAATTAATACAGTTTTATTGATATTTATAGAAAAAAAATGTGTGTTTCCAGTACGCGCGAGCGAAGTTAAACTTCTTTTGA